ATCTCTTTAACATTCTTGATGCTCAAGTTAGGGATAGTTCTGCACATGAAGGAATAAAAAGGGTTGCTAAACTTGCATATAGATGCTTGAGCTTAAGTGGTAAAAAGCGGCCAAAAATGATAGAAGTTGCTATGGAGTTGGAGCAGATTCGTCTTTTGTAAAACAATTCAAATGGTCAAAAAATTCATGAAGAGCTTAGGTATGACAAGACTGAAGTAACCAATCACTATGGCATTGCTTCAGGAGCTTCTTTGTCATTAGACATAGAGCCACTACTTTCAAGTGAATCATGGGAATTGCTAGGAAAGCAAGTAGGCTCAATAACCATATGATATTGGTAGAGATATGCTCTATTTTAGTATGATTGTAGTTTATAGTTTTGGTTTTTATAAATTTTGTAACTTTAAATAAAAAACTTGTTTAGTTAGTTTCATGTTTATATATATGTCAAAATATTATTATGATCAATCAGTAAAGAAATAGAAGCAAAAATAGTTTTAAGATTACTAAATAAGCTTATAGTTTTAGTTGTTAGTGTTGAAATTTGTTTTAAACAAATTATCATTTTTTTCTGTTTTAGTTTTGGTTTTCAAATTTCAATAATTACAAAATTTATGAAAACTAAAATAAAAATGTAAAAAAACAAAATTGTATATAAATAAAATCTAAGAAATTTACAAAAACAAGGGATTAATTTGATTCAAATTGATTGATTGATTTAATTATATTCATAAATTTTAGATTTTTTGAAAGAAAAGAAAATCTTATATTTAATAGTAGGTTGATAGGGTAGATTGTTTATGGGAAAAAGCTACATACACATAGTTTTATTCATAATTTGATGTGACATATATAAAAGGATATAGAAAATTAAGATATTTTAATATTGAAAATATCATAACATTTAATCAAAATCATATGATAAGTGAGATATAATTTAAACTCCACTTAAGTCCTGGTTGGGATTAGATGTTTTGATATTTTTAATGTTATGATATTTTAATTTTCATTTTTTTGTATATTAATTGGTTCTTTTTATTAAAAAATATATTTATAATATTTTATGTATTTATTCATCTAATAATTTAAGGATAACTTTTTTATATATTCTTTTATACTTATTTATTGATCAATTCTTTTCGTTCAACCAAGATGCTTGATATTATATGAATTCACTTATCATTATATGTGGGTTTGCTTAGGTTGCTTCTAGTACTTTCCAGTGCTTTTGGATCATCAGAAGAAAAAGAAAAATGAAAGAGAAAATGAAAAACCTCTCTAGTGCTTCTTTCTTCTTCTTCTTTTTTCATTTGAATGCCGGGAGGCGGGAGGAAATGGATTGAGTGGCCATCCTATTAGCTGTTGTGATATAGAACTTAGAAGAGACCAGAATCGGACGCTTAAGGTGCAGGGTATGGATAGATATATAGGCCCTAAAACAGGTCCATTCTATTGGGCTACCAGTAAACAAAGCCCTTTAGGTCATTCCATTGGTCCATCAGGAAAATGACCCTTGCCATTGGCCCATTTATTGGGACATATGGGAGTAGAAAAGGCCGAAACCAACCAAGCAAAATCCTTTCCCCCTCCCCCTTAACAAAAGGAAAAAAAAAAAGTGAACATGACATGGTTACCTTTTTTTTTAATTAAAAAAAGAAAGAAAGAGAGTAGAGAAATGGTTTCCAGTTGTCCCAAA